TCTATGTGTAACAGAGGGAGTATATTCTAAGCTTTGGAGGCTTTTTTTTCCTTTTCTTATTTATGCGTAAAACTTTTCAGTTATGTATTGTAGTCCTTGGTTTTTTTTTTGTTTTTCTTATTTATGCGTAAAACATTTCAGTTATGTATTGTCGTCAGTGGAGAACTATGATCGTCCTTGGCTTTTAAGTTATTACTCTTGCTCTTTGTTTTAAGTTATCTGTGCATCTTAGAAACAACAAAATATTTGATTTAAAGTTTTGTTACGCTTTTCTAAAACCGATCAGCTTTTAGTTTCTTCTCCAACAAAAATGAGGAAACTATACTCTTTGTTGTGGGAAAGCAATGGGGGGAGAAGGAGTCAAGAACGAGTGAAAATGTATTTCTATTTTACGGCTAAAATGTATACAAAAGTACATGCAAACAAACCCTTCACCCATTAATTCCAAGGGAAACTCTGCCTTTCCGATTTCAATTTACGGATCAAGAAACTCGAATTTGACAGGACCACGACCTTTGATCTCTTTCACCAACGACATGGTGGTAGACCTTCGTAACCCTATTGCTTTTGATGTAGTAGTTGAAGGACTTTGTTGTGCTTACCATTTGTGCAGCTGATCTTCCTGGAGAAATCAGCAAGTTAGTGAGAAAACTTTACATCTCTCTTTCATTCTGCCTTGGTGAATCTGTATTAGCTACGATCCATGTAGTTTGATGTGTTTATCCGCAGATTCATCGTTTCTTTCGAATGATCTTCTGAAACTGTTCAAGATCCAGGTTAATACTCTTTCATATAACCGTACTTGTCAAAATAATTTGTGTTTTTTTCACAATGGTAATATTCATTTGTGTTTTACCGTGGGTCAGTTGGTAAGGCTTGAACAACTATCAATCTCAAGAAATATGCTTACATACTTGTCCGATACTAGTGGTATAGTCTGCGGAATGTAAGTAACCTAAGTGGCCAAAGCTAAACTCAAGGATCTGTTTGAAATTTATTTTAGTGTTAGAAATCTCTATGTATTCTTCACTGACAATAAAGATTTCGTTTTTTTTCTTTGTCAACAAACATCATATATTAAATCAAAGTTGGTCGGTAGGGAACAATCCTAAGCCCTACCGGCTCATCGAGATCTACATGGAAAAAGATATAACCACGTGCGCGTGCTTCTTTTGCAAGAGCATCGGCATGGTTCTAAGAAAGAGAGAAGAAAGGACCAAATGTGCACATAACTCTCATTAGGTGCTTTAGCCCGTGATCAATTTAAACAGTTTACTTCTTTATCCTAAAGCATTTTGTTATTTTTGGAAAAAAAAAGAAAGATATTGTTGGGGCCAGTTAGATATGAATAGGAAGAACTTCAAATTATGGTCGTAAGTTGAATATTAAGTGATTACTAGTCTTGAATATGATCAAGAAGAAGAAGAGGAGACAAAGGACATGAACTCTTGATCTGATTCCAAAGCTTCCATAAACTCTGGAATAAGACATACTTCCAAATCTATGCTTCCTCCTCCTCCTCTTCCCGGATAAGCTGATACCTTCCCGTCATACTTACTACTATAACCGCTTCTAATCGCAACCGCTTTCCCCATCCCAAACTCGCATCCGTACTTGTTAAACCTCGGTGAGCTTCCCATATGAACAAGGTTCGGGTTTGAATGTAGCTCTGATCGCAAATCAGTAGGAGACTTCAACCATCGATCCATTTCGGAAGAGATCTTTTCGCTAGTGTGTTCGGTTACAGCTTGATGCAGTTTCAAAGCAGCAAACCCAAACTCATTCTCCAAAACGTTACCAATTTTCATAGTCGTTTTCACAAGAGAGATGTAAACTCCAAAGTAATTCATTGGCATTGGTGGATCCATTCTTGATCTATTATCAGCAGCAAACCTACAAGTAGTTTCTTGATCATTTGGTAATCTTCTTGCTCTTGTAATGCTTCTCCATATAAATGCGGTTAATGACTGTAAAGAAGAGATCTTTGTTGTTCCGCAATCTTGATTCGCCTTTAGTTTCAGTGATCTCACTGTTTCTGATGAGAAATGGAACATTCTCTCCTTGAAAACCGGAGATTCGAATTGAGTAATGGACTTATCAGGTTCACTGAACGGAAACCTGTATAAAGGATCGGACACTTCACGAAAGATTGGTGGATTCTTGAGACAAAACAATTTGTTGTTGTCATTATCAATGGTTTCTTCTTGAGAATTGAAGATCTCGGACAAAGAGTTGAAGAACTGCCAAAATGAACTTCCATCTCCAATCGAATGATTCATAGACATTCCTATGAACACTCCATCTATCAATTCTGTCACCTACAAAATTCAGCTTTATTTGCATTGTGGTCCTCTAGGCTTCAAGTTACGGTCAAACAAATTCAGTCTTTTATCAATACAAATCTAATAACATATTCAAGTTATATGAATTTTGAAATATATAAACACAATAATGAATTAATGTACCTTTAATGAATTTGAATTAATACACAAGAATGAATTTGAGAATTTTTTAAACAAAACAAAAATGTACCTTGAGTGATAAGAGACTCATGGTGTGACCATCACGATTCCCTGCATTGTGATGATCAAAGAAAGATTGAACAACCAAAGGAACATATTTGGACCCAACAATGTCTGATACTCTTAGATCCGTTTTTGCATGGATAAATCCAGCTCCAGGACTGTTATTACAATCCACAAACACAGAGTGAGATCTCGAATTGTCGGTTTTCAAAGTCGAGAAGCGACCAACGAGCGGATAGAAATGGATAAGTGTTGTGGCTAGTGAGTCTTTAAGCTTTTGCAACCAAGTCTCCATGAAGATTGCATCATCAGATTCAGATATAACTGATGGTTTGAGGAAGAGAAGACCCTTTTGGATGTATTGCACAGAGAGCAACACATGATCCAATAGTGATAAATGGTATGGCTCTTTTGATTTTTCAGGGATGGTTTTGGGTTTGATGAAACATTCCGATATAATATTTACTTCT